TGTCTCTGTGGACTTCATTTAATTTTCATCCGTTTGCATATGAGCAATTGATGGGAAAACACAAAAGCATATTTCAAACGGAAGGAACTCAAGAAAAAAAATCAAACCTCGCGTTGCAGCATAGAAAGGCTTAAGGGGCATAATATTGAATGATACAGAAACATCAAAAGAAGATGGAAAGAATACACAGAGTCACTGTACCTAAAAGAACTAGTGGGCATTCAACCATTTTAAGAGGTGGTGTATAAGCAAGAACCAATGGTACCGAGGGAAGAACTTGAAGCTGCAGTGAAAGCATTAGCCACAATGCGGCTCCAGGAATTTATGAGCTATCAATTGAAATATTTCAACAAGCGGGTGAAGCACTAGGAACACTCACTCACCTATGCAAAGAAATTTGGAAGACAGTTACTTGGTCAACTGACTGGAAGAGATAAGCATTTGTGCCCATTTCTAAGAAAGTTGAACCAACAGAATGCTCAAAGAGTAAAACAATACCATTAATATCACATGCAAGTACAATTTAGCTCAAGATTGTCCAGCAACAGTTGCAGCAGTACATTGACAAGGAACTACCAGAGATTCAGGCTGGATTCATAAAAGGAACTAGAACAAGTGATATCATTGCTGATGTCAGATGGATATTTGCTCAAGGAAAGAATACCAGAAAGGCGTTTAGTTAACTATGCGACAGCATTTGACTGTGTGGACCATCACAAACTATAGATAGGCTTGAGAAGAATGGAAATTCCTGAACACCACATTGTGCTCATGTGGAGCCTGTACATTGATCAAGAGGAAGTTGTGCAGACATAACGCCATGGTTTAGCACCAGGACAGGTGTGCACCGGGGATATATCCTCTCAACATACTTGTTCAAACTGCATGCTGAGCAGGTCATCAGAGAGCTATAGTATATGAAGAAGAATAGAGCATTAGGATCAGAGGAAAGGTTATTAACCTGTTATAGATAGATGACAAAACTTTGCTTACTGATAGTAAGGAGGACTTGAAGCATTTGCTGATGAAAGTCAAGGATTGCAGTTTGCAGTATTGATGACAACTTAATGCAAAGAAAACTTTAAAATCCTCACAACTGGGTCAATAGGCAGTATCATGTAATTGGAGAAAGGAATGAAGTTGTCAAGGATTTTGTCTAGCTTGGATCCACAATCAATGTCCATGGAAGCAGTAGGCAAGAAATCAAACAGCGCATTGCACTGGGTAAATCTGCTGCACAAGACCTCGTTAACATGTTGAAAAACAGTGAGATTAATTTGAGGACTAAGGGGCACCTGACCCAAAGCATGGGCTTTTCAGTCTCCTCTTATGCATGTGAAACTGAATAAGGGAGATCGCAGAAGAATCGTTGCATTTGGATGGAATATGGTGCTTGGGAAGAATGTTGAAAATACCATGAACTGCCACAAGAACAAACAGATCTGTCTTGGAAGAAGTACAGCCAGATGCTCTTTAGAGCCAAGGACGGCAAGACTTCATCTCATCTACTTTGAACGCACTGTCAGGATAGACCAGGCCTTGGAAAAGGACATCGTGCTTGGTAAAGTGGAGGGACAGCAGAAAAGAGGAAGACCTTCAACAAGAGAGTTGGACACTCAAGATGGAAAACCCTCAACAGGATGACTCCGACAATGGGTTAAAACATAATTGCGAGGATGGCTTGCAGGACCGAGTGATGTTTTGTTCTGTTGTATAAGGTCACTATGAGTCAGATCTGGAGAGCACCTAACAATAACAACAACAACAACCAGGAACTTTCTCAAGATGTGGCAGAAAGTCCCAAACCAACATTTGATCCTTGGTGATGGTGGCCTCCATGATGAGCAGGGCCAGAGTGACCATTCCACTTGTTCTGGATGAGGCTGGGGTACCAAGCCAAGGCTCTCTAGTGGCCACTGGCTCACGTGGCACTTTCACACCAGCCCACACTCGTTTCTTAGGGGCTTCCGAGGGTTACTGCCAGGATCCACATGGTATTTAAATGAGCCCACCAGTCAGCAATGGAGCATTGAACAGCATAGCCTCCATGCCTGGCTCTGAACCTCCCAGATACATGCACTCTGGATCCTGGCTCCCCACTTTATTCTGGATCAACCTCCAAGTCATACCTCCTAGGTGGCACCCCCCACCACCACCACCACCACCTTCTCTCCAGTTCAGCGATCTGAGACACATCAGTTCTGCTTATCTGCACATCTGGGCTTGTGTCTGATGCTTGACTTTATCAAGACATTCCCTCGGGTGCATGACCTACGTTTGGAAAAACACTCACGAGTGCAGCAGGTGGGAGGTCTGCAGCGCCCGTGTCAGGCTCCATGCTTTTGTCTAACCAGTGTGGCCCGAGCAGCCGTTTGCACCACTTCACTTCACATAACAACTGCTCCCACTTTGAGCTGGAGAACCACCTTGGACTAAGGCCCTCCTAATGCATTTGTTGGAGACTGTCACGCGTGATCTGGGAAGCTGAGGTGGAATAATTAAATCCATGGAAGATAGGCAGGCAGTTTTGGAGACAGGCTTTTTATGGTTTTCTAGCTGTCATATTCCTGTAGGAATTATGACGGCTGCAACCATGAGCTGCAATATATGGATAGAATAGGTGAAATGGCATATGGGTAGGTCTACCTATCGATGTATACTCTGGCAGACCAGAGAGAGGTAGCTACCGAAATGAAAGCAAAACCCACTGTCAGTAGGCTGTAGGGTCAGTAGGCTCTGACCTACTGTGATTCTGTCAGACAGAGCAGGACGGCTCCTTAGGTCTCCAAGACTATAAATCTCTACAGGAATATATAGCTTCGTCTTCCTCTCAAGAGGGACCTCCAATCTTACAGGTTAGCAGCCTAATGCCTAAAAAGTGCCACCAGGGCTCCTTAGAAGTATGTACAGGTGCATGTGAAAATACATGTGGGTACAGGCATATATTCATTGAAGATACAAATACAGATATTCCTCCAAAAAAATTGGTGGTGGTGGTTGGGGGCAGACGGGGGCGGGGGGTGGGGGGGAGGATTTAAGCCTCAGGACCATAGTTGTGTGGAGCAATTCAGTCAATTTTTCTAACTGTTCACAAAACATCAGGATTTGAATCCTGGTGAAATGAGTAGCACCTGGGTCTTAAAGGCTTGAGCAGTCTTTCAGACAAACTATGGGTCTGAAGTTGCCAGAAGCATAAGAGTAAAAAGGTGACCAAGCAGGCAGAGAAGAAACAAATCTACAGTAGCCACCGTCTCATCTACTGTGAGATCAGAAGAACCAGATGGTGCCTAGCTACCAACCTCAACCAGTTTGAATGGGGCCAAATTACTGTCCTCAATAGAATCAGCGCCATGATACATTCCAATAAAACAAGCAAAAAACGAACCTACATTGAGTCACTGCCTTGCCTAACAGGCTGTAAGCACCCTGCGTACCAAGACTATTGTGAAGGAGGTATTCATACATTCTTCATGGAAATACAAAATACTGGTACTATTTATCAAAACTACAAATGTATTTACATCTGTCTCAGCAACTCTGCTTTTGAACATTTATCCCTCAGCTACCCTGTGCCCACGACATCGTGTGTGTATACTGACAAACTGGAAACAATCTGGTCACGTGTCAGGTACAAATACTCAAATAAGGAAGGAAACGTGGCTGCTAAGAAGAATGAGAAAGCGCCTTATGATGGAACTGTGGTAGTTACATAATTTCATGTCAACTTGGAAATATTTAAAAAGTGTAGGGGTGGTATTTAACCTGTCAACTAGGTCACAGACTTCTTGCAGGCTTGGCCTTCTCATAAGGAGGGCCCTGGGAACCTCCCCTTTTCTCTCTGCCTTCACTGTCCTGTTGGCAGACCCTGAATGCTGCCAGAGCCACTGCCATTGGATCCATGGGACTTTGCACCCACCACCCACTGGCCAGTGATGTTCCTGCATTTGGCGTCATTGCAAGTAGCTGCATGAGTCTGAAGAGGGATTATGGTAAGGTGACCAGACGTCCACTTTTGGCGGGACAGTCCCGATTTTTAGCGTTTTAAAAAAGTCCCGATTTTTGGAAAGAATGCACGACAAGCTACGGAATGGTCTATTTGGTCCATATAGACCAAATTTTTAATCAAGAAACCCACCCACCCCCCGCTTTAAATCTGGTCACCTTAACTTATGGACTAGTAAGGGACTTACGGACATGTGTTGGACTGGGCTGGGATGGTTTCCTGATATACAATTATGTCTCGATATAAAGCTCTTTCTTACACATCGATGAGTATTACTGAATTTGTTTCTCCAGTCAACCAGCCTAACACAAGAACTAAAAAGAATTTCAAATTACAGAGCCATTTTCTCTTTTATGTAACAGAGGAAATTAAGAAAAACTAAACTAAGAAATATTTCAGACGGAAAATTAAAGATATCTTTTTAAATGCATCTTGTTCTTTCTTTATAAGAAAAGCACCATCAGGGGTGGGGGCTCTATATAAAATAAACAGTTAAGAAACTTACTTATACAACTCACAACAGAAGAAACATTAAGGGCTGGTAAACCCAACAGCAACAATTTTTTAAAAAGCCAACTATCTATTTTGTGTCTGGAATTTGAAGCTAAAAAATGGCCACAATTGTGAAGGAGTATTTTGTTGTTACTATTTTAAACTCAAGGAGCTCCAGTGGCACCGTGGGTTGAGCATCGGGCTGCTAACTGCAAGGTTGGTGGTTTGAATCCACCAGCTACTCCATGGAAGAAAAATGAGAACTGTCTACATCTGTAAAGATGTGTAGCCTGGGAGAAACCCTGGGGAGCTGTTCTACTTTGTTCCATGGGGTCACTCTGAGTCAGAATTCACTAGACAACATTAGGTTTTACTTTAAACTCAGAAAGCACACTTACATATTAACAGAACGAAATAGAATCATCTATCTCTGAGTTTTAAGAAACAGAAGAGGACAGGCAGGGATGGGCACAACATGTTTTGCTGTTTTTCAGAGAAATCTTACTTCAATTGCTGAGCACAGGGAATAGCCGTAAAGCTTTTTGAACTCTGCTCGAATGTCCAAAAGGTCAATTTTGGATCTGGAGACCATTATTCTGTTCAGAGTATATTCATCCGTCCCAGCACCCTGTTAAGAAATGCAGATATGCACAATATAATATCAACTGTCACAAAACAGCATAAAGGTCTATATTTAACCCAAAAAAGCAAATGCAACACAGTATTCATGACAGTGACACCCATCATTTGCTTAGCATAAAAATTCACAATTTATTTAGACATATTTATGAAGTACCTCCTCTATACCAAGAGGATACTATATATTGAAAGACTGGATTGAGATACCTTTGTCAAGCATCCAGTTTCGTAAAGGATACAAGCAAGAAATCAGACCACTGTACTACACCCTGGTGTCTGGTAGATACTGAGGGCTCTGGGAACCTGGGTGGTGCCCTTGAGGTGTTGTTGGTTAAGTATTGGGCTGCTAACCACAAGGTTGGCAGCTACTCGGTGGGAGAAAGTTGAGGCTCTGCTCCCACAATGATTCACAGCCTCCAAATTCCTACAAGGGTTACTATGAGTTAGAATCTACTCAATGGGAGTGGAGATTCTGTTATTGTTGTTTTTTATGGAAACATGTATCAGGGGAGCATAAAAAAGATTGAGATTCAGGGAAGACCTACCTGAAAAGGGATATTTAAAAAAGACCCGCGGAAGCAGTGGTGAGAGTTATAGAAAGAGGAGAGATTATTCCAATTAGAAGAAAGGGTATGTGTGAAGGTTTAAAGCAGTGGTTCACAAACTGTGGGTCGACAAGCCTTTGAGGGTCAAATGACCCTTTCACAGGGGTCATCCAATTCATAATAGTAGCAAACTTACAGTTATAAAGTAGCAACAAAAATAATTTTATGGTTGGGGGGGGTCACCACAATATGATGAGCTGTATTAAAGGGTCATGGCTTTAGGAAGGTTGAGAACCACAGTTTCAGAGCATAAGGTCCCCAAACTTACTGGCCAACCACCCACTTTTTAGGGGGAAAAAACCCCTCAGCACCCTGCCCCTGACAATTAAAAACTTTTGTACTATAGCCAATAATCCAGGTTAAAGTGTAAGCATCTGCTTTTGCAGTCTTTCTAGATCATTCCAGAGCCCCCCCCCCCAGGGGGTAGGATCACCCTCTTTGGGAAACACTGCTTTACAGCATGTGAGCATGCTACATCCAAGGCATAGAAGGAATGAGGAGGAGTCACAAAAGATGTGCCTGGAAGGGCCAGAGCTTTTACACCATGAAATTAGAGTCTGACTTTATCCCAAGTGTAGAGAACTGTTGTCATCTTTCAAACATGAGGATGTTGAGACGAAATCAGATGTGTGGTTTCAGAAGATCACCGTGACTGCAGTAAAGAACAGAGAGCAGGGTAAGAGGAGGATGAAGACAAGGGGGTGAGACTAGAGACTTTGAGACCATGTTGACAGGATTGCAATTTTTAAAAAAACAAGAGGCAAAAAAGCGGCAATACAGATGAAAAAGATGCATGGACTTCCAAGATGTTGTCGAAAGTAAGTTGACAAGATTTCATGATATCTCCACACAGCCAAATCTACTTGCGTAGTCAATAAAACACAGGTAAACATCCTTCTAATATTCTCTGCTTCCAGTCAAGATCTATCTGATGTCAGCAGGGACCTGTCTCTGGAGAAGTACATCATCCTGGGCAAAGGAGGGGGTGGGTGAAAAAAGACCTCAACGAGGAGGGTCGGTGTAGTTACACGATAGGTTATATAGTGAGGAAGGTGCAGGAACAACCTAACCACCATAACAACCATGGATATTTGAAGTGAACGAAGGAGAGGGAGAGATGTAAGATTCTGGCTGACACTATTCATTGATTTATTCAGCCAACAAGTGCTCTTTGAATATCAACTATTTGATTGACATTGATCCATATATTGGATCTGGTGGTAAACTCCAAAAATCTAAACACCAAAGTCAGGCCATTTTGATTCATAGTGAACCTATAAGACAGTGTAGAGCTGCCCTTGTGGGTTTCTGAGACTTAACCTTCTTCTTCTTTTTACATCATTTTACTGGGGGCTTGTACAACTCCTATCACAATCCATCCATCCATCCATCCATCCATCCATCCATCCATCCATCCATCCATCCATCCATCCATCCATTGTGTCAAGCACATTTATGCATTTGTTGCCATCATCACTCTCAAAACATTTTCTTTCCACTAGAGCCCTTGGTATCAGCTCTGAGACGCAATCTTTACGGGAGCAGACAGGCCCATGTGTCTCCTGAGAAGCAATTGGCGGGTTCAAAGTGCTGACTTGTGGTTAGTAGCCCGACGTGTAATGCACTGCACCTCCAGGGCTCCGTGGTAGTGAACAACACAGGTTCCTCTGCCCTCAGGCAGTTTACCTTTCAGTGGATGGAAACAGACAAGAAGAGAACTAGTTGCTTAACTAAATACAATTTTTTGACGCTCTCAATGCTATCGAGGAGATTCTGAATTAAGCATGATTAATTCTGTGCCATCTCCCTGAGAGAGCTGATAACAGGGCTGATAACAGAACAAGTGTTCTTTCGGCCCAAGGAAGCCCTCCCTCATAAGCATAAACACTCAGGTGTTGTCTAGACAACAATAACATCCCGATGACCACAAAATCCCAAGGGGGAACCAATTACAAGGGGGGAACCGATTACAAGGATTTACATATAACCTCCTCCCTGGGGGATGGACAACAGAAAAATGGGTGAAGGGAGACGTCGGACAGGGCAAGATATAACAAGAATAATAATTTATAAATTATTAAGGGTTCATGAGGGAAGGGGGAGCGGGGAGGGAGAGGAAAAATGAGGACCTCATGCCAGGGGCTTCAGTGGAGAGCAAATGTTTTGAGAATGATGAGGGCAATGAATGTACAAATGTGCTTTATACAATTGATATATGTATGGATTGCGATAAGAGTTGTATGAGCCCCTAATAAAACGACTTAAAAAAATCCCCAGGGGTTAGTGTGAACTCTCAGGAAACAAAGGCAATGACCGCATTACTCTGGGTCATGTTAACTGATTTACCCCACAGAGAAAATAATGAGGAGTGGAAGTGTGGGGGAGGCGAATGATGTATACACTTTGGATATCACTTGGCAGATATCTATGGTATCTCCACACAATACATCTAGTAAGTACACTGAGGTAAGCATCTTCTAATGAGCAGGCCCCGTGGTAAGGTCTGAAGATATGAAACGGCAAGAGAAAACTCCACACCATCCATCCATCATTGAAGACTGTTAAGAAAACGCAAGGTTACATTATATAAGGTTCACTCACTCAGCTTAGTTTATTTTTAGTAAACAGCTTGAGAGGCCACTGGACCTAAAGAGTCAGGTTTGAGGCTTGGCTCTCTACTACAAGTTCCATTGCTTCCACTTACAGCAAAACAGAGGGAAAAGATAGTCAACCTTCCACAGCGGCCAACTCTATATTGAGATATACAAGGTGGCTTCAAAATGTTCATTAAAAAAATCCCATTGTCTTGTAGGCCCATTTCCCCCACAAAATTTTTGAATCCCCCTTCATATATCTCATTTTCAACCTAAGAGTGGGAATGAGTAGGCACGTGATTAGCTTAAGAGACAGAACTGAGCATAGTGGGAAAGAGTATGGAATGTCATCAATCTTGGGGAAACTTAAGAACTTGTATGAGACGTCCAGACCCACCTTCAAAGCTTGGTGCAGTCTTGCAGCCAAATAGGCAGGTGTGTTCCTCGCACAGTGAACTGTAATAAAAAGTCAAGCAATGTTCAGTTTCTCATATCACAGAAATTGGGCTATAATAGAAAGTGGGTTAATCTTCCATAGCAATGTGTTTTTTAAAAATCCTCTGAGCTCTACCTTTCCCCTCATTTGTCTTTTATTTAGAATAAAAGAATGGAGGCTTCCCCTGAATTTGAAAATGTATAGCTACATTAGCATGGAACTTCAGTACAGCCATCATCTTCAGCCGTAGGGGAAAAAAGTACCTGCCAAAGAAGCTCCCACAGAGCCTGACTCACCTGCAGCTAGCTCCCAGACACACAGACCACTTACGCCCGCACGGATAACTCCCTGGGGTGTAAGCTCTGTTCAAATATCTTGGGCTGCGGGTGAATAATTTGAGTCTAAAGACTGCAGCAAAGGTGCTCCAAATAGTAAGAAGGAACTCTGGAGTTCAATTTAAAAGCAATTTTTCCATGAGCAAGATTTCCTCTTCAGTGACCAGATTCAGTTTATAGACATTAGAGCCAACACCTTCATCTAAAGTCGATCATCCAAAATAATAATACTATCATCTTTCTATTAAAAAATTGAAATAAGTACATCTAAAATAGAACATTAAAAAGAAAATTGGAAAAGATGTGAATAAATGAATTATCTTTTAAATGAAGTGAAAAAGTAGCAGGTGTAGAAAATTCTATTGCAACATGATAACTTTTATAATCTTAAACCTGATCTGTAGGGAGGAGTCTGACCGAAAGTGAGTGGGTTTAATAATGACGTTTGGGGACCAAGACAAGAAAAAGTGGCTTCCTCAGAGTGCCTGTACAGACTCCCTTCCAGAAAGCGAAATGGCTATTAGTTTGTGTGAGTGATCTGAAAGTAGTAAGAGAAGAAATGTATTGGAAATCCAAGCATATAAGCTGTGTGCTACCTGTGTGTCTCACACACACACACACACTCGAACTCCCTGGCATTGAGGCCACCTGGACTCACAGTGTGACCTTACAGGACAGAGAAGAACTGCCCAGTGGGTTTCTGAGACTGTGACTCTTTGCAGAAATAGAAAGAACGGAAAAGGCCAGTGCTTCCCAACGCTGGCCTTGGATTAACAGCCCAACGTACTCCTCTAGGCCACCCGGGGTCAGAAACACACACAGTAGTTGGTTAACATACAGACTATGAACCCCAACTGTCGACATTATAACCCAGCTCTACTGTGTACTCGCTGAATAAGCTTGGAAGAAGCTTAACCTCTTTGTGGAGCATTTACCAGCTCTACCAGGAGATCATGTGTAGGGTCACTCTGAGTCGAAATCTGCTCGATGGCAGTCATTGATCAAGGAGACGGAGAGTCTCTGAGTGTCCCAAATGCTTAATGCACTCAGCTGGTAACGCCAAGATTTTAGTTCACCCAGATGTGCCTCAGAAGAAAGACCTGGTGATCTATGTCCGAAAAAAGATCAGCCATGACAAGCTCACTGGAACGCAGCTCTATTGTGGCAGACATAGGGATCACTCTGAGAGGGAACTGAGTCAAGGGCAAATGTTTTTTTCTTTTCTTTTTTTTAACAAGGGGATACTAATAGTATCTAGTGAGGAGTCCTGGTGGCGCAGTCAGGTAATCATTGCACTGCTAACCACAAGGTCAGTGGCTCAAACCCACCAACTGCTGCACAAGAAAAAAATGAGGTTAATTGCGCTCCTAAAGCCTGGCAGCTTCTGAAACCCTATACAAAGTTGCTGAGTCAGAACTGACTCCTGAGAGCGGACTTGAGTTGACAGCCCACATGCTTAGGTTGAGACTCAAATGAGTTGGTATTTGTAAATAATTTAGCATAGAGTCTATCACAAAGTACGCTCCACAAAAGAATTCACTTGAAATACCATTGGAATTAACTAAATTAGAAGGTCACCTCCCAGCAGTGGTAAGGTGTGAAAAATTAATCAGAGATTCCACTCCAGAGGAGGTGACTCTTAAACATCAACTATTTTTTTCTCTCTAGAGTCTAGAGACATATATGTGTCTATGTCCCTAAATATGTCCGTGTATACACAGATATTTACATGTATAGCTCTTCATATTTGGAGAGAGAGAATTTTATTTTCTAACCCAATACCAAGGGTAATTCATTGTTGAAATGACAAGGTGTTCAATTGGCCCTACATTGTGCAGGTACTACCTGCTGTGAGGGTGTGTCCTTCATTCCATTCCAGCTCATGGCGATTCTAGAAGGTGGAACTGGACCACTCCATCGAGCTTCCCAGGCGTAGTTAGTACATGAGCACTTTTCTGCTAGTGGGCTTAAGCTACCAGTCTTGCCGTTAGAAGCCAAATGCTTCATTATCGTGTCACCTGCTCAGTACAGAAAGTCGTCCATCGGGAAGCCAGCAGCATCCCAACAGCCTCCACTGGTCCTTTGCAGTGGTTTACGATTCTGAACAATCCTGTCTATAGCATTTAGCAAAACATTGTGCTATTTGATTCTGATTAGAAGGGTCACTAATCCTGTCATTGAAATAGTGTTTCATTCTTATGGATGAGCCTTTCTTAAAGGTCCTGCCCAAGTGCCTAAAAGAATAAGCCTCTGAGACCTCATTTATGGGCGATGTTGGATGCCTGTTAACTGATGTGCTCACATGGGGGCGGGGTTTAATCTGAGCTCACTTGCATTTCAACCTGCCCGCCCTCCCCCTACCACCAAACAATTCAAAGCAGAGGAGCTCTACAGCTTTGACCTGCCTTGACTTTGGAAGGTGACTGACATCTTCTAAAAATAATCAAAGATAGTAAATAACTAAATTGGCTTAGGTCTTGGTTTTCAAGCGGGCTCAATGAAAATGCCAGCCAAAATGAAATATCTTCGGTTCTTAAGGAGATAACAGCATAAACAAAAAGACAGGGCAAAGCACATTTCAAAGACAAAGTAAGGTAACTTCTTCATGTACTTACGGTATTTGTGAAGCATGCTCTCAGTACTAAGGACTGTGTGGGGTTTGGAGGAATAGAACGATGAATCTTACAGGAAAGGACCTTACCTTGACATTGATTCAGAACATGTGCAAAATAATTCACTTCCTAAGTGCTCACAAGCTTACCTATGGTCAGCAGTAGGTCTTTAAAATGCCCCGATAATTCTCCTCTTATGCTTTCCTCAATGTCCTTCTGGCTGATGTTTCTATATTCATCAAATGCTAAAAAGCAGTACCACAAACATACTTGAAGTATCCCAGATGACTACACCTGGCTATACCTAGTCCACTTTTAGACTCAGTTTGCAGCAGGTAAAGTTGTTGGGTAGCAACTTCAGAACTTCCTCCCTTTAACCACCAAAAAATTGAGGAAAACCATTTTTGGTTTTTCTTTTTCCTTCCTTTTTAAGACGTCAACCACAATAAAACCCAATTTTCACACTCCATTTTTTTTTCCTTTCCTGACCAGCTATTTTGACCCAAAGGCCTCTATAGGGTTATAGCCAGGGCTATCTGGCTACTCACACTTAAAATAGCTTTACAAAAGGTTGTAAATCCAAAGTCAAATCATCTATGTAGTGATAGGGCTTTTTAAAAATGATGTAACATCTGGGACACCACAGTGTGGCCATTCATCAAAGTGTTTGATCTGCTAAAGAAACCTTAATTGCTGTGCTAGGCAAGTCACTCCCTAGGGGAGTTTGGCCTACACCACACCTACCAGAAGGCATGCAATTTCTTGACCATATTGGCCTCCACAAAAAGACTGTACATGTTACCAAGTACACGGGCGTCATTTTGCAAGCCAAGTGAAATTTTTGTGAATGGATTTTGAAAAGAGAAATTTTGGAGACAGAGCTAAGGTGGGTGGGTGGTGTTTTCCAGATACAGATATTAATAACTCGCATATACTACAAGGATCCCTAGTGGCTGGATGGCTATGCCTGTGGTTTGAACATGAGAACTGCTCTGTGGGGGGAAAAGCCCTGGGGAGCTGCTCTGGTAAAGATTCCCACCTCGAAAGCCCTGGGAGGCAGTTCTCCTCTGCCCTATAGAGTCCTTTGGGTCAAAAGAGACTCCGTGGCCCATGGACACTTTATAGGACAACAGCCTCTATTAGTAGAAGTGTTTGATAAAATCATTGAGATTTTCATGGTGAAACTAAAGGGCAATCTCAGAATTAAGGTCACCGTACAGCCCTTATGTTTTCTTGCTTGTCCCTGAGTTGGCAAACATTTAACCACCCACTGGGGTTCATTTCTAGACCAGCACCTGGAAGCAAGCCAGAGGCAGTCATACTACATGAAGCTCTGGCGGCTTTGCTTCCAGAACGCCTCAGATAAGTGCAGTGTTGGTGTGGGTGCCCGAGGGAGGGAGGGATTGGTGCCTAGCAGTTCTACCTGTACGGTGGTCTCACAAGAACTTTGTGGGGTTTGCTTTCTGTCCCTTACCTCCACTTACTTACCTCTGCATGAGAAAGAGCCGTTCCTCAGTATTAATACAGAGACTCACTGGCAATGCTTGGGGGGGGGGGAGTGTTCCCCTGGAAAGTGGACAACTTGGGAAAAGATGGGGTGAAAGCCAAACCCTTCACTCCACGGGAATGCTGCCCTCCTGCCCTCATCCAAGAGGCCTTCTCTTTGTCTCCCTCACCATCACAATCCCTCCCCTGCCACTCGTGACTGGATAATCTACTCAACTTCCAGGGACAAGCAAGACAAGCATCAAGTGTCCCTGTTTCCTTCCTTGAAAATTGTATGCAGGAAATTGCAACAGACTTTGCCATTTTTCAACTTGATGTCCTAGAGCTTTCTATATTCAATTCAAAGTCATATGCAAAACAACAACAAACAAACAACCCCTCCACCCCAAACAAAAGGACTGTGACGTGGTGCAACAATGAATGGCGCCCATACTTTGCTTCAGTTGAGGAAAGCTCCGTAAGCACAGGACCTCGATGAATTTCTCTTCATCCGTGCCCCATCTCTTCTCACCTGCATCATAGAGAATCTTTCGAGCAAGGGAAGGGAGATATTATTACTTATATGACACAACTCCCCCCTCTCCCCCGCTCCAGTCCCCCACTCCCTTTGGGAAGAGATGGCATGAAAACGGCGGGCAGTTCACTGCATTTGAGATGCCAGTGAGACGGATGTGTTATCTCGTCTTTCATTTTTTCAGCCAAGGAATTAGAGAGTTTGGGCAGCAGGAGGTGGCGAATGATGATCCCCAATAGAGGAGGCAGAATGCGGAGGGTGGGGGTTCTCCGGCTGTTACAGATCTGTGTCCTTCCAACATAGGTGTTGCACTACTGACCTCCAATAGCTGGGGATCAGGAGAAAGACAATGCTTTCTACTCCCGTAAAGAGTTACAATGTTGGAAACCCACAGGGGCAGACCTACCTGTCCTAAAGAGCCACTCTGAGTAAGAATCCCCTCGATGGCAGTGAGAGTTTATAGCTATAGATGAAGGAACCCTGGTGATGGTGTGGGTTAGGGACTGCGTTGATAACGGAAAGCTTGGTGGTTCAAACCCAACAACCACACCGTGGGAGAGAGATGAGGCTGCCAATTCCCTTCCAAAATTTGCAATCCTGGAAACCTGATAGAGGGTCGTTTTGAGTCAAAGTTGACTCAATGACAGTGGTTTGGCTTTTTGGTTTTATACCTGTACAGAATCAGTCTCAGAAACCCCAAGGAGCACTTCTACTCTGTCCTAAACGGTCTCTATGAGTCAGAGTTGACTGTATTGCAATGGGGTTTTCGGTGGGTACACCTATGGATGTAGTCCAGGAAGAAGAAGCAGCAGTAAAGGAGGCATTGCCTTTGTTCTGTACTGACCTGGGCACCCTTTTTAGCCAGGTGTTCATCTACTTTCAGACTCTCATCTCTTCTGCCCTAAACATGAAAAGGAAAAACAGGGCGGTTCTTTTAAAGATAGAAGATTCGAACCTGTACTCATCAATCCCTAATGCAAGTGTTACCAAGGGCACCTGGCTTCTTGTTTGAAATACTCCAAGCAGTAGGCCACTCTGGTGGGTTTTCCTCCATTGAAGAACAGTGACACCAGAACAAACATCCCGTCCCCAGACTTGGTGCTATGTTCGAGCCCACTGCTGTGGCCACTGCGTCCCTCTATCTTGTCAAAAGCCATGTGGCACAGAGAAAAGACGGTTGGCAGAAGAAGCAGGCACTCACTCTCTGCTCCAGGCCTGGCTGTGCCATAACATTTATTGGAAATCACATAATTCTCTGGACTTCAGCTCTCTCCCCTAAAAACTCCAGGGCCCACACCCACTCTAATATTGAAGCCTCTCAAGTTATACAAGGGGGTTTCAAAAGTTCATGGGGCAGTTGAATGAAAAGATAATGGAATTTTTCCATGAACTTTTTGAAGTCCTGTCATTTGTGTGTGTGCATGTGTGTGTGTGCACAAATGCTTCAGCACACTATAGAAAGGCAGGAGACAGGAGAGGGGGAGAAACAGTGCTTCCTGAATTATTTTGAGAAGTATAAGCGAATTAAGCATTGGGCTAAATTATTTTTTAAATGAATATTTGAAATGGAAAAACTCTTATTTCACCCTGTAGGTCTATAGTCTATTGGTACTATTAGTTTGCATTATTGTTCTCCTTCACACGCATGCTGCTCCATTAACAAACATGCTAATAACTGGTATTAATAATAATAATAACAATAATAAGCAACATTGATTTGGATCACCTTGTTCCCTTGTCCCTGGGCTTGTTAACACCAATGGGAACACAGGGAATCCAAGACAGATGATCCCTTCAGGACCAGTGGTGAGAGTGGCGATACCGGGAGGGTAGAGGGAAGGTGCGGTAGAAAAAGGGAACTGATTATAGGGATCTACATATAACCTCTTCCCTGGGGCACGAACAACAGAAAAGTGGGTGAAGGAATATGTCTGACAGTGTAACATATGACAAAATATTAAGAATTTATAAATTATCAAGAGTTCATGAGGGAGAGGGGAGCAGGGAGGGAGGGGGTAAAATGAGGAGCTAATGCCAGGGGCTTAAGTGGAGAGCAAATGTTTTGAGAATGATGAGGGTAACGAATGTACAGATGTGCTTTACACAATTGATGTATGTATGGATTGTGATAAGAGTAGTATGAGCCTCCAATAAAATGATTAGAAAAACAATTTTAAAAAGCATCATCAGTTATTAATCATTTTCTATGAGCTCAATGAAGTAGAGGTAGATACTGAAAGAGAGAGACTGACACAGTGGCTGCAGCAATGGGCTCAGCACAGCGATGAGGGTGAGGACGGTGCCGGGCTGGGTCTTGCTCAGCTCTGTTGGATGGAGGTCACCACGAGTCAGAACGGACCGCAGCCCTTAACAATAATGGATGAAGCACTTTCCATGGCTTCTCTCTCTTAATCTTCACAAGGCCCTCAGAGGCTGGCACTATGATCTTTCTAAATTTTACAGATGTGAAAGCCAAGGCTTAAAGCTTAAACCCTGCCTAAGGGTATAAAAGCTAAATGTGAGAGTCTAGCTCTGTCTGAGCTGTGGCTAAAGCCCTACTCTGTGCTGCCCCCTGTGGATGGGTCAGAGCAATCGTATGCATATACAAGCATGCACATCTATGAACACCTATGTTCGGGAGCGTATGTCAGCAGGAAGGCTGCCTACGTTTGCTTGTGTGGGCTGATGAGGTTTTCACACTTTAAGGAAACCGGCACCATAATTAGGCTAACTTGTTTCCCACTGGCATCCTGCTTCAGTGCTGCCAAGTGGCGTTGGGCCTGTCAGGATGAGACCATTGCTGAGCTTGTAGGAACTGTGCAAATCTGCTGACGGAAGCTGGTGAGCCACGGCTTCAATTACTCCCTCTTATACACTCATCCTTGACCTGCCCACCTTCATAACTGGCCGTCCTGACTCATAAATCAGCAAGGTGTGGCCTCCTTCGCCCACATGCGGACTAATGTGCCAGCATCTCTTCCAAAGGGGCGCCAATGTGGTTGCAACAACTCATTGATTTCTGCATCCTGAGACCGAGCCAGCTACCTCTGACGATAACTTTCTGTATCATGCTCCCTACTGAATTTATACTCGAACACAACACATATCTCTCAGGTCCAGGAGAAAAGGCACAGTCTTAAAATGGAAAGACAGCTCATGAAAAAGAATAAATAATCATTTTATATCAGATGATTTATGAGAACATTTTCCAGTACCCTGAAATATAGGTCAGCACATTTTTAATCCTTAGACTGGCCCAAACAAGATTTTTCTGTTATGTTTCACACACACACACACACACACACACACACACACACACACACGCGCACGAAGAGGCTTCAAAAAGTTTGTGGAAAAACTCCATGTTCTTTTCCTTCCATTATTCAACAAATGTTTTGAAGCTCATGTGTACATGTATGCATGCATACATGTGCACATACATTTATGATCCTTGGCCACATATTATATTGCTTGGTTAAAATGCAGATTCAGCCTGAAGAAATCATTCTAGAAGGAAAATTGAAATTTCACTGCCTCCATTTGGTTATTTGTAAATGCCCTAAAATTAGTACTGAGCATTCGGCTTATTAGGGGTTTGAAAAATTGAGTAACACCTTACATCAGCCAAAGTCAACAGCGCTTTCTGAAAGTCCCCAGATGTTTCAGAGCTAATGTCATCTCCAAGACTCTTCCTATACACTGGAACAAAATAAGGATGAAATCAAGCCTTGGAAAACTGAGAACTCTTACTATAAAACAGAGAAAAGCTGAAATGTCAACTTTGACCATGACTAAGTACCTAGTGAAATAAATTGTGCTCTTCTATCTAACTTCCTCGGTTTCCCACTTAGGTACAGCTCCAGGACTAAATTCTTGGTAATCAAACTTAGGCACCTACAGATGAGGTGATGTGCACCTATAAAAAGGTAGGGTTGCAATGAGTTGGCAATAGCAGTCGGTTGAGTTGGGCTTTGGTCAGAAGGGGGCTACAAAGGTTGATGGGAAAATTCTATGACCTTCCACTTCCTTTTCCCCCACAAACTCTTTGAAGCCTCCTCACTTGCTGCATGGCTGCCTGTTTGTGAGTAGATCCCTGCAGCCTGGGCAGGCAGTGTGACTCGTGAAGAAGAAGGCTCTCGCTAAGGGGTGGCATAAGAGTAAAGAGGAACAGGCCTGGGATCCTGGGAATTTTGAGGGACCAACAACATGCCTATTTCCAGATTTTTTTTTTTACACTTCTACAGGAAGCCACCTTATTCAAGTCACTGTTCCATGAGGGGGCTTCAAGAAGTTCATGGAAAAATGTAATTAAAAGCTGGTGGAATTTTTCTACCAACTTTTTTAATACCCTTCAGTATTTCTGTTTTATGACCCTAACTCTATTACTAGTAACTACATGAGTCAGAATTGACTCAATGGTAATAGGTTTGGTTTGGCGGGTGGGGGTGGGGGTGG